AAACCCCTAAACTCTAAACCCTATGTCGGGCTAAGTAAGGTTTCGATGCTGCTGGTTCTGGGCTTGGGGTTCAGGGCTTAGGTTGTCGAGCATTGCGCTGGTTTGTGTGTGCTGTGCTTAGGGTTGTCGGGGTTATGGTCTGTGGGTAGTGTAGGCTTCGCCAAGAAGGAAACCTACGGTAATTTGTATAACTTACAAAGCTGCATCAACAGGACTTGCGAAGTGTTAAGGGCGTGGCTTTGAGCTCCGGGGCTTGGTTCTACACCCTGAAGCAAAAAAACATGAACCCTACGATCCTGAACCCTACGTCCCTTCCGTGACACTCGCTAGCAATAGCATAGCTGAGGTTCAGAGCGAAGTCCCAAAAATCTCGGGGACAGCATCTAGGTTCCTACTACCGGAACCTTAGTTTCTATGCCGGAACCCTACATCCCAAATCCAAAACTGCCCGATAACCTGAAACCCGAAGAGTTGTAGTGGCTGACTTACGCGAACTTTATAAAGAAGTCCTCGCCACATAGGCATACGGTATAACGGTATATACCGAAGCCCTACTGCAAAAAATCACTAAGCAATGAGAACTCAGTCCCAGCCGTGGCACGATGAGTCTCATAGTCATGAGCCCCTGATTGTTCAAGCCATCATCGCCTTTGACAGAGTACCCAGGCCACCTGTACCTCGATTTTCGTGTTTTGGGTTTCGGGGTTTCGGGTTCAGAGCTTCTGGTTTGGGTAGCGATCTCTGACTAAACCCAAGTGGGTTGGACAGTTCCCATAGTTCCCAATAGACACTAAGAGACCCAAGGCTGAAAAGCAAAAGCCCGGAGCAGTGCCATGGACCCTGAAGTCTTCTGGATAAGTAGGGGTGCCCTGCAAAAGTCTTCATAATATGGAGGATCCTACCTTTTCCCGATTTCCTGAGTCTCCCAAGCACGAAACTGGATTTAACCTGGCTACTCTACTCCCCTAGGCTTAGATGGTACCTATAGTCTCCATTGTNNNACAATGGAGACTATAGGTAGACTAAACAACTGCTTCTGGAGACCTCGGTTCAAGCCAATATAAGCTAAACCATCGCCAACAACTCCTCAAAAAAAGTACCCCAAGAGCCTTGGCGTAGGGACTGAAGTTGAAGGTTACTTATAGTTAAACCTGGGTTTCGGAGTTTAGGGATTTAGGGATTTAGCACGGTGTCAGCAACCTTAACCGTAGAACTAACCCACGTGAAGCCAGCGCAACTCCACTGCTTTGCCAAGCCCTTCGTAAACAGACAGCTGGGTTCGTGCATCTACAAGGCACTAAACGGGTGCTACAAAGGCAGCAGAAGGATTGGATTTAGGGTTCAGGGTTGGAGGTTCAGACAAGGAGCTGGGCAGAGCAAAACGGCACTTTGGTGTCTTCTGTCTCGTCACCTAGCAGCATGTAGCAAAATGCTGACGCCTCCGACATCAGGGCTCCTAGCTACCTAGCTAAAAGCACGAATTGCAAGACGGAGCGTGTACAGGAAAAGAATTTACAACGAAAATGAGGTTGCGCTGCCTATGGCACACACGAATGAGATCAAATCGGGACACTGGAAGCGGAAACTGCGTGTGCCTATGGCCTGTGCCTGAGCCGCTGCATCTCTGCTAGGATCCCAGCATTGTTCGGCTTTGCACAGCCGCCCGGTCTTTAGTCTATAGGGTTTGGACGGTTGAGAGTTCATGGGTTTTAGGCAGTTGAGTCCCACCAAAAACCGGTCTACAGTCCGACATTGAGCGACCCAGGAACTCAGAACCCAAACCCTAAAACCTAAAGCCTAAAGACTCAGAGCTCTAAGCCCTTAAATCCCAAGCTGCAGCCTTTTTCCGGCTATGGATCATGAGCGCACCAGCCCGCCGCCTGCCTGGGTCCAGAGGATCGCAGCCCCAGGTGTGAACAAAGAAGTTGTTCAAAGCCTGCGGTGACAAACAGATCGGGCTTCGACTCGCGCACTCACTCAAAAAGCAGGCGCATCCAGGCGATAAGTCTCAACTCGAGCTGGGTTTAAGGCTTTTGGCCTACTGCCCCAGAATGGTTTCCATGGTTTGGGGGCTCGGGGTACAGAGTCTGTACGGTATTCATCACCAACCCGGCTTGGCTCATAACACCGTTTACTAGGAACCCTTTACCCATTCCCGTGCAGCAACCGGAACCCTCAGATGCTGGGCAGCATGGATCTGATCTATCCCTTGCCTCGTACACCCCATACTCGTCCTTGCCAGTTACCTCGATCTCACCCTCGCCGTCGCCCTCTCCTGCGGAGCAGCTGAGCTCTTCACAGCTGCAAGCTTTGACACCTGGACCTAAGAACACCTAAAGCCCAGACCCCGAATCGGAACCCTGAAGCCCTATAAACCACAGGTCCTGTGAGCTCTATCAAAATGAAGGGGACCTTCGTGGTAGAGTCCAGCTCCCGCAAATTCCTGGCAAGTCCACGGCAGCTCGGTTTAGGGTTCAGGGTGCCCTAGACCCTAAACCCAGCCTTCTTCAGCCAGCCCCTTGGGCCCACTCATCGCTAACTAACACCTGCCCCAAAGCCCCCAAAAAAACATGTTCAGTTCAGCAAGAAGCCCTCGTCAAGCGTTTCTAGGTATTGCCGTATAGGTCTCTCGAGGCGAGACCTTGGCGAAGAATCCCAACAAAAGCAAACCCTAAAACTACACAAGAAACCCTAAACCCCAAGACCCTCAAC